GTAACAAAATTTAATTAGATTTTAAGTAAATAAAGTAAGTGAAGTAAAAAAAAAAAAAGGAATGAAAATAAATAAATAAAAATGAAAAGAGAAAAAGCATTAAAAATAATATATAAATGAAAGATTTTGAAACAATAAAGGAACTTTAACATTTGTCTAAAAGAATAAATTATAATTTTTTATTGGTTATTTATCATTTATCATAATTCATTTCACTTACTTATTTTCTCGTTTGATATTTTAACACCATTGTTAAATTGATAATTTGATTATGATGAAGTGATATAGGAGCAAAAAAGGAAAAAGAAAATCATGGATGGATGATGATGAAATAAAAAAACTTATGCTAAAATTATATGAATTTAATAAATTAAAAAAAAAAATCATAAAATTGTTGCAAAACTTATTTGTGTATTTAGCAATTGTTGCAAATATGAAAAATATAATGGAAAAATTCCTTTTCTATTCTATATATATGTATATATAGTGAAAGAATTTCAAACAAATTCTTTTACTAAATAAATCCCAAAATTTGCTAAAAAAATTTTTAAAGGATTTATTTTAATCTAATAAATGGCGTTGAGTGATATCTGAGGATGAATGTTATACTTTCAGTATGATAAGTATAAAGGATATATGTTAATGTGTGGGAGTAATATTAATGGATACGGTGTGATATGTAGCATTGATGGATTGAAATTTTCCATTTTCGATCATATACTTTTAATATTATCAGTATAATATAGCAATAATAGTAAACTTGTATTTTTCATCCTTGAATACCACCATCATTTCAGATTTTGTGAGTTAACATTGATAACACGAATTCATTATGATAGACATTTAATTACATTTTCATCTAATATGTTAATTTATGTTAAAAAAAAGAAAAAAAAGAAAAAAAAGTCACAAGAAAAGACAATATCATAAAGAGATATATCTATTATTTTGTTAGTTTTTTAAAATATTTGCAAACAATTATTGCAATTTTCAATCAAAATATTTCAATTATTTTGAATTTCCGAAAAAGTAAATAAATTTAACTTTTCATAACAAAATTAATAACTTTAATAATTTCATCGTATTCATTCATCATTTTTGTCCATTCTAACACTATCATCACTGCTAATTAAACTAATTTAAGCTCTCTTTTCATGATTTAAAATTAACTTTAAAAATTTCATCACATTCCTTCATTAGGCTTATTCATGCTATTACTATTACTATTACTACTACTATTACTAATACTATTACTATTACTATTACCATTACTAATATTATTACTATTACTACTGGCTGTTACAATTTATTAGATTTTCAATTCAAAATTAATAACCATCATTATTCTTATTCATGCAACAATTTCAAACGTTTGCATTTATTTTGCTGCTATCCATTAAAATATTTATTTCCATTGTTAAATTCATTTTAATTTGAAGATGATCGGTAAAAAAAAAAGAAAAAAAGAACGAAAGGGGTGTAACGTTTTGTTTATTTCATTACATCAAAGAGTAACAGGTTTCCAGAATCATTGAATCAATTCTACTGTTAATGTTTGATAAATCAATTCCACTGTTAATGTTTGATATTGTTTAAAGATACAACTCCTATCAAATTTTCGCATCTTTTTTTTTTCCTCCATATTTTCTATTTGAAATTGTTAATTAGTACATGAAAAATTTTTCAACAATA